CCCCCCCCTTTTATTGGCAGGTAAGTGCCATTCAATTTTCTATATTCTCTCTTTATACTCCGTTTACCCTGGAAGCCATGTTATCCCCAAAACCCTCCACCCATCCTCCACCCCCATCCCCTCCCCCAAGCTATAAAATAATGACTGATCCCTTAAATCAATGCTCAGTTAAAAAGAAATGAAAAATAAATAACTTACCCTGTCGAAACTTCCATCTCCGTTTTTATCTTGATCTCTGTAGAATTTATCAGCAGCTTCCAGATTTTCTTTAGTTCCTTTGAACATTTTTTCTGAAAGAAATTGTCTCGTTTGTAAGTAAAATCCAAATCACGTTCCTCGACTAATTCATTCAGCTCCTGAAGTAGTTAAAAAAATACTAATTACCTTTGTACTCCTCTAGCGAAAGAAGTCCATCACCGTTTATGTCTCCTACTTCCATGTATTCCTATATGGTGGAATAAAGGTTATTTAGCAAACTTTTCGATTGACTATCGTGACACTAACACCAAAAAATTACGTTGGCCGATCAGAGAAAAGGAAACTTCACAAGGAGGCCAATCAAAGAGAACTTGAAGTAAAAAACAAAAAAATCTACCAACGATTTCCGGCGGGAAATCGTAAGTGACCGAGTCGTGCTTGCCGAGTTTTTAATTTGCATCCCATTGGTTGAGAGGAGGCGCAAATTTTCTTGACCAACTGTTGTACATGCCGAGTCCTTGCAAGGCAAGGGCTGAAGCATAATCTGAAGGGAAAAAAAAGAATCTTACGTCAATAATCACTTCGAACATGTGAGGTCTCTCCTCTGGGTGAAACATGGAAGTGACCTCATCAGTGTTCAGGAGGCCATCTTTGTCGGCATCTGCAACATTGAATCTTTTTCGCTTTTTTTCTTCTGTAGCGACTGTAGGAAATAAATATTGAATAATAATAAAAATAATAATAATAATTAATAGAAAAATAGACAAAGAATATACTTACAATGAAAAAACAAACAAAACAAAACAAAAAAGCAAAAACAAACAAACAAATTAAATAACGATAAAATAACAAGGGAAATATATAACCGATTTACGTACAAGCTTATTTTTAGATGCAGTTTTGGGTGACTCTATTAAAAAGGAGCGTCAAAAAAAAAAGCGTCTATAAGGAAGATGAGAGTTTGTGTAGCAAACAGACTCACAATTAAATTGCAAACTTCAAGAGCTATGCAATTACCTCCAATGTCTTCTTCGGATTTGAGAAGTTCTTCGAAAGTAAGTTTGTCATCTTTGTCGGTGTCCAATTCACTCATAATTTGCCCAGAATCCTCTTTGTAAGTTTTCCTCAAAGTTTTCCTAACCCAGGCAGTCATTTCCTCTTCATTTACTTTTCCATCTTTGTCCCTATCCATGACTTCAAGAAGTAAACTGCAATTAACGCGGAAAGAGAAATAAATTAGAATATGTAAGTACAGGAATCCTATGGGGTGTGCTTTATTGCAGTTATATCGCTTTTCTTTCAAAATATTACAGAATTCTCCTTCTGCCATTTTTTTTTTCAAAGCTTCGAAGGAATTCAACAGACAGCGGTTTTGCTCATTATGCTAATTTTAACATCGTGTCACGGTCATTGAACATTGATCAGTTTAGGGACAGAGGTCTAGTTTACGTTTGAAATGTTGCTTTTTTGGAGTCTGGTCCAAAAAGGAAAAATTCCAAATCAAAGAAGCGGCAAAAAAGTACAAACACTTGGCCTTTAGCTTCCTAATTGACTTGTATACAAACAAATGGACCAACAAACAAATTCCATCTCGTTCGGCTTTCAAATACCCCTAAACTGACGCCAATTTGAAATATTCTACAACGACAAACAACCCCAATTCCCAACATCTTCTTGAATACTACATAGCTACACGTGTGTTTTATTACTTACGTGACAGTATTGTTGACTTTCTTTTCGGTATCTTCTTTAGAAACTTTCTTTGTATCTTTTTGCGATGAGAAAGCGGACGCATACAAAATGCAACCACAACACAACACAAGACAATACGAACTCCAAACTCGAAACATTGTGAAACTAAGGTTCGTGTGCTTTACTTAAAGAGCGCTTTGTACTATCTTATGACAAGTTTAACTAAACCGGCATATATTGTATCGGTGATCCAAGATTTTGTCAAGTATAGTACACGTTGTATGCTTCGTGTGAAGCCACGTAGCTTATGGTATCGGCTGATGCGCAATCTACCGTGCCGAAAATAATGTCGTCAAACATCTAACAAAAGGGTCTCTATAAACTATGCCACTTAACGTAGAAAGTGAGCCGAGGGGGGAGAGTATGGAACAACACGGAAAACAAGTCTTTTGTGTCAAATGTCCGGTGAATCATGAAACAGCCAAAAATCCTTTAAAGTGCACTACACTTTTCTTTGTATTTACCAAAATTACAAGCATAGTCAGCATATCAATTTTTTCCGCATCCCACCTTTCGTCAGAGCCTCCCGCTGGCTACGTAATAGGAAATGGTAAATTCTAAATAAAAACCCAAGGAAACATCACAATATCAATTTCTAATGCATGCATGCAATACACAAACCTTTTTAACGCGTATTCCTTACCACTCTACGAAAGCCAACTGTGATATTTCAGTTTTGTCTAATGTTACAAACTATGGTCCTCCTAGACAAGTATTTCGATTTCTCTAGCGAACTGACAGGTCGCTTATCAAAACTATTGCACTGATTTCGCCTGCAAAGCTTTTTAGCTTCATTTTTTTCAAGGTTATTTATAAGGTATTGTGGTAAGAATTTCGGGGATTAATAGACAAACTTGTTGAACTAGAACAGCATGAAAATAAGCCAATAGTCTCAATGTCATTTAAAAACATGTATAAACAAGATTTTAAACAAACAAATGACTTAGCACCATCGTGAAACATTGTGTTTTTTTCAACCAATGATAATGGTATTCCAAGTTTACCTACAATAGTATAATTTCACTCAATCACATCACAGATCTTGAGCCCAGGGCGATCTCGGCTTCTTGTCAGCGGTATGGTCGTTCTTGGAGACCATACCGTTGACAATAAGCCAAAATAATCGTGGGCTTGTGGTTGTCATATCACGCGATTCCCAAGTTTGTTTTCAATAAGCCACTGGTCTAAAAGAGTGCGTACTTATATGAGATCTTCGTGATCCCAAGTTTCTTACAAAAAAAAACACCAACCAATGTTCAAAACGTAGAGTGACCGTTGTATTTTCGTTTTAAGTTGCTTCCCTTATTGTTATCTCGTCCTCTCTGTTTCCTTTTCTCTTCAATTCAGTGTTTGCATCTTTGGAAGACGAACAGAGGGACCAGAGAAGAGTATTTTATACTAAGTGTCTTCACAATTCGTCTTTAACTTTTTGCCTTGTTTGGAATCCTTCAGGCCCGGCGGTGAAAATCTCCATATGGTTCCTGATTTCTTTTTCGCTTAAAACACCATCCTGTGTGTATTTACAGATGAAAAAATGATGTCCTGAAGACGATAAGCCTCTCTAAAAATAAGTCTGTGAATCTCCAAGGGATATGGGACATAGGCGCAGTCCCTTCCTTTTGCGTTTCAGTGTGGAAATTATTAGAAACGCACTACATTACATATTCTCGTGATCTTTTCTTTTCATCGCGCTTGACAAAATAAATTGGAACAACTATCGACTTCTTTATTGCCACAAGTTGGTTTCAGTCACACTGGACACAGTTAAGATTACATAAAAGTTTTGCTTGTGCTAACGAACAAGTTGAAAGACATTCAAGGAAATTTTGATAGAAGCATGGGCTCGGCCTAATTTGCGGTGACGCCCCTTCTTTTTAACCCACAATTTAAAACGTTCCACCACCTCTTCCAGAGGTGGTACTATCCAAAAGACGAAGGTATGTAGAAAATAGACGGGAATTTGGGGCACACCCTCCGGTTACACTCAACTACCACGCATCTTTCATCATCTGAAAATAGATTACCTTGTTATCGTCGGCTAATTTAACTTGTCTTTGTGCTTGATTATTTGCTTGGGCCGAGGTGTTTACTGCTGCTAACCACAGCTTCATCTCCTCCTTAGGACAGGAAAGGAGGTAAAATCAGCTGAGATAGAAACTACGATTAAAATGCTCCCAACGTTTCCTTACTTCCCAGTTCAATTTTTTTCAGATTAAGCCCAAGGCTCTGTTTTTGTTGCATGTTTTCAAACTCCTTCATCTGATCCTTTAGTAGAGCCCGCCTGAGAAACTTTTCAGCACCGAACTACATATCTTGACTAGCCCAAAAATTCTTAATCCTGAATTGGTCGGTTTTCTGAACAATTCAAAGTTAAAATATCCCTTATATGCTATGCATACTTTGTTAAGTTTTCCATCACTGTCTTTATCCAGTCTCTTAAAGGATTCTTTCGCTGAGTGTTCGTCCGCGTTTCCAGTATCTGCTGTTTTCCCTACATGGAAATAAACAGTGCGTGAACTAATCAGCATAATTTCAAACTTATCATCAGCATCTCAGAGGAATTCAAAAGTATTTGTAAACTCTTTCAGTAAACTTATAGGTAAGGTCAGACCTAACATGGAAAACAAATTCAAAGGAAAAAGGTTTACCTTTGTACTCTTTAAATGATAGAAAACCGTCATTATTGCTATCAATGTATTCCATGAACTCCTAAAAAAACCATCTTCAGTTTTAGCTTTTGGCTCAGAATGGAATAAAGTTGACATAAAAGTTGATGATTTGTTTTAATCAATTGAGTCGATAATGTTAATTAGCCACCGGAAAGGGTTTAAAAGCTGACGTTTCGAGCGTTAGCCCTTCAAACGCTCAAAACTTCAGCTTTTAAACTATTGTCAGTCAGACTATTGGCCAGTTTACATTACCAACTCAGTTGATAAAATCCAGTTATCTTGCTATACTCCCCCACCGACACACAGCACCACAGTTTCTTAAGAAACTCACCCCTTTTAACATAAATTTTGTTTTCGGTTTGTAATTCTGTAGAAAAAAATGTCATGCGTATCACCATATAGGTCAAAAAATAACTCATATCAGGACTTTTCAAGCACAGCTCCTTACCTCAACTATTACTCCAAACATATTTGCACTTTCTTCGGGGTGGAATAAGGAAATCAGTTCATCGCGTGACAGCAAACTGTCTCTGTTTGCATCAGCGTGTTCAAATCTTCTTCTATCACGCCTTTTTTGCTTTTCTGTAAAACCTGCAAGTTGATATAATTGGGAACAAAACCATCGTGTAGTTTCAAGTTGTCAAAAATGATCCATTAGAATGTCACACAGTTTAAATGCAAAGTTTCAGCCGCAAAAGTGTTGAAGAGAAATTCTCACTACCACAGCAGCTGCAAACAGGAGTCTAGTAATGGGTTCCTGCCGCAAACCGAGAATTAATTCGATAGATGGGAGGGTAGAAAGGAAGGGTCCTTAAAAAGAGTGAAAATTGGGAAATACAGAGAAATAAAAACATTGCGTCATCATTATTGCAAGGGGACATGGGGGCTTGGGGCGGGTAAGAGGTGTCACAATGTTTACCGTCTCTGTTTTCAGCACCCTTGACATACTCTCCCCAGGAAACCTTGCTGTCTTTGTCAGAGTCCAGTGAACTCAGTCTACCGTCGGCCTCCTGTCTGTAAAAAGTTCTCATGCTCTTTTGGGTCCAAGCAGAAAGTTCTTTGACTGAAATTTCACTGTCACCGTTTCGATCAATCAATAATAAAACTGACCTACAATGCAAGGAGAAAAAACCGTTTTGTTTAAGCGACTTATGATTTCATGAACAGAAGAATTTGGAAGTGGTCTTCACCTTACCAATTGCTACTTCAAAATATACAAAACTGAGTAATGCAACCTAAGCACATCCGCCCTGGAACCCTGGAAAGTTCTCCTACAAAACTTGAGATGATAGCTTTTCCCAAAATCTTTTGTTTTTTAAATAAATCCTTACAATTTTAGTTAGTTTCATTTCAGCCATCTGAAAGCTTCTTTCAAACATTGCGTGACGAGTGTAGAACAGTCAGTGTTTAACCGTCACACAACACATTTGTAACGGTACAGATTTCCGTGAATTACGGAGAATTCTTTTCAATATTCTTCAACACACACATATATAAAGAAACATTTCTTCTAAGGGAAAAATTAACAAACCTGTCCTGTTTCAGAAATACAATAATTCTCTTAAAGTAGACCAATGCCTTTCATCGTCACACGTCATAATAGTAAAAATATCTTAGTTCATATATACTTTACATTGACGAGAAGTTCAACACCAGGCAGTTAAAGATAGAAACCTAACTTTTTTTTAACCAGGTATAGTCTAAAGAGAGCTTAGAGTATTCACGATAAATAGCAAACCTTAGTTTGGCCTTTTCTTCGTCATTGTTGCCGTCATTTTTAGGATTGCTTTGGGTGTCAGGTCCCTGAAACTCAGCTGATATTCTCGCAAATAACACGAAAGTGACAAGAATTAACAGCGACGAGGCCATGTTCACCAAGCCCACGATTGAAAACTAAAGATTATTAGAGAATCGTCTAAATGGTAAGCTTAAGCCACAAAAGCACATTCTCTTGTCTCCGAAGCTGACCGCATCACAAAGCTTCGCGAGATATCCGGTGACAAGCCAAAGACAAGGGACATTGTTAATTACTTTGCGTGACAAGTGCTTACGTGACATTGACACCAGGTCGCTATGCCTGGAAGTCTCGCACAGTTAACCTCTTCATTTTTGACACGTGAAAAAATTGGGAGTTACTACATCACGGGCGACGAGTGGGGGATGAAGAAAAGACCGAAATACGAGTGGTCAGCAGGTAAACAAATTTAATACTTCATATAGAGACATATCAGTTATAGTTGCGGAAAACAATAGTCTTCTAAAGCCGAAATGTCAACAGTATACTTCGCTAAATAAAATGTTAAGCAATTTTTCAAAAGTGTTGATGTCACGTATATCTTTTACTGCTATATTAAACAATGAAGGTATCAGAGAAGGCATCTGTGGCATCTGGAAAGACACCAAGAAGAATTATATTTACGTTTTGTAACTTGCTG